GCCTGCTGAAGTAGGGCACAAAGACACACTTTTTTCCCAACATGACCAAAGTTGAATAGCTTTCATGTTTTCCGGTACAGCAACATTCATAAGTAAAAGCAGTATCACTGAATCATTTTTGGATTTGCATACTTGTCTTTGCTTACTAGAATTGTATTGTCCACTGAAAAAGTGACTTACACTAAATACAGAAAGCATTGAACTTACCAAGATATTAAATACTCGTGAGTTTATACTTGCTGGGACAGTAACGATTTGAAAGCAGAATTAAAAAAAAAAGGTAGATATTAAAGGTAGATTTTAAAACACATTAGGACTTCTGTCTGCTACTAGCCTTCAAGAGGATCCCACCTTGGGGAATGGTCTTTTCAGGCTGCTTTAAACTTAAAGTAAGTAGCTTTTGAAAAAAACAGCTCTGGAGTTGCCTTGACTCAGCCCTCCAGGCCTCCTCCACAGACAGTTGATTTCTCAGCTCCAGACATTTTTCTCCCATTTCTGTTTTACTCTTTTAATTGCAAATGACCATGAAGGCATTGAGGGCAATTTAAGGGTAAAGACAACTAGGTTTCTTTTCTGAAAAGTTCCAGACAGGCTTGAGGTCTGGACAGATCACTACAGCTGTCTGACTACGCGGTATTTATGGCTGGCCCGTTTTGGTCTGTATTTTGAGGACTGGTGTGCTGCATTTGATGATATCTGTTATAAAATCCTTATACAGCTCTCTGAATTGTTGGCAAAATTCCCCTTTACAAGTTGCTAGCAGTCTAAATATTTTTTTTTTCAGACAGATTTTTTTTTTTTACCCCCTATGGCTCTTTCCTTCTGAACTTTGACAGCACAGGCATCAAAATGATGTTCTGTATGTTTCCTTTACGTCACTCGCTAAATTGTATGGTCTGATTATCCGTTTTTACACTAGCATTTGGCTATCTGCCCTTAAATTCTAGCTGACTGTCTTCTATTCCAGAAAGGAATGTCTACAATTTGTCCAAGTCTGACTTCAAAAACAAATTCTCTTCTGTGGGACAAAAATAAGCATGACAAGTTAATGCATTCTTGTAGTCTTATGGCATTAATTTTACCCCATTATAGCTTTAGAAGTAGGAAGAAGATTCCCTTTGCTTTGAGTATCATTTATCTTGTGATGTAAAGTCTGTTGAATTTTTTTTGTAGTTCACCAACCTTAATATATGTTGCTTCCACAAATGACTGTGAATTCCTTGCTAAATTTTACTGAGCATTCCTGGTGTGACCTTGTGTGTTTTGCTTAGCAGTGCAAGTGATGCTTTTCATCCAGAACAAGTTTCTGTAAAATCATAGAATTTATCACAATTCTTTTTCTGTTCTGTTAGAAGTTGCAAAAACTTTCAGAATTTTAAGACATTTTCCAGGTTTCAGACACTTTGTTAACAACTGAACCATGCAGGTCAAGCATAATCTGATTATTAACAGCATACGTGCCGCAGGGCAGTCTCTCTTCCAAAGCCAGTGTGTTAGGCTGCTCTCTCTCAAACTGACCCTTACAAGCAAGTGAAGTTTACCCTGTACATCTATTAATTGTGTTCGTATTGCTTTGAGATACAGGTCTGCAATTTTGGACTGTTATGTCTCTCTAGCCTCACTGTGCTTCACCTTGAAAGCAACCTGCATATTCCTACATTAGACAGAACACAGAAAAAAGTAATATTGTATTTCTAGGGTTTAGTATGTATTACAGCCTATGTATAATGAAAGGTATAAAGCTATGTGCAGAAACAAAGGGCAGAAGTGTTTTACGCCGCCTGAACTTTAGGTTCCTGCTCTGCATCATCCAGCTGAAAAGTGGTCAGGAAGCTTTTACAGCTCTCCCGGTTGGAATCTGATGGTTAGATGAGACCACTGACTGGGGCATTGCTTTCACTGAGCAGATGCTTGGTCTGTGGAGGATGTTGTATTCTTACAGATCCACTGTCTCCACAGGATTTCCATTCAGAACTCACGCTTCTCCAGAAGCTTCCCATAACTCATAATCCTGATGTTTAATCAGAATATAGGTTCTTAACACTTTTCCTAGACAATTGCTGTTAGCCACAGTCTTGCTGATGACCCTTGGACATAGCCAGGTAGAAGCATCAACTAGACAGTGAACAGAACTCTGTTGAACGGCTGCCTGCACCTAACTTGGCTGGAAACAAACTGCTGTCTGCAAATAGTTCTGTGGTTTTTTGTAGAATCTCCTTTCTTGTGGACTGGAGTGGGGTTTGCCTTGCTGGAGAGTTTCCTGTCCAATGAGCAGTACATTTCGTGCAAAGTGATTTTGCAGCTTTGCATTGTTTTGCAGTTCATTATTAATTCTGGACAGGGAATGGATATGGTTATAAAAGAGCTAATTCAGCAGGCTGGAGGTTGCAAATGATCCATCAGTTTGGCTTGCTGAGATTGGGGTCCACTGAGCTAACGTCCCAAACAGTGGAGGGGAAAAAAAAGCATTCAGGAAAATGAATGTTAGGTTATTCCACATACAGGTGCCCATCTTTAAGCAGTTGTCTTGCTTCTGGTAGATAAGGTGGCAGGTTGGAAGACTCAACTAAAATTATATTATTTTATCCTACTGGGCATTTTTTCATTTAGATAAATTGAGTAACTCTGAGGTCTTCATTGGCTTTTTCTCGGGAACAGAATAAATTGTTTCTCTGTAACGTTTAGTATTAGCTGTCTCCAAAAGGGTGTTTGTGGCCTTAACAGTTTGGTTTTGCATTAATAGTACTTACGATAATGATAGACCTAAGTTTAAGAAACAGCTGAATGTTGAAATGGAGTCTGCTCTCTGTTGTGCCTGTGTATTTTTCCTTCAGAAGAATGGATGTGTACATGCTGTGCTTCTAGGTGTCTGCCAGTGACCTTGTGTATTTTGTGTGCTGTGTTAAGGCTGATTGCAGATCAGACTGATTACTTGTTTTATGGGACCTTAAGCAGCAACACTGTTTAGTCAGCTTCGCTGACAGATTTTAATGAGCTTCAGAGAGGTTAAAAGTTTCCTGAGCTGCATAGTCCTAACACGCCGGTTTTCATTCCCCTGATCCCACTCTCTTTTCCTGCAGCACTCCAGCTCACGCCTGAGTTACCAAAGCAACATTCAGGGATCTTCTCAGTCCCAGAGTACAATGGGCTATTCCACGTCGTCTCAGCAGAGCTCCCAGTATCACCAGTCCCATCAGTCTCACAGGTACTGAGAGCGCTAACAGACTGCACTCGGAAAGGAATGGACTAAAAGCCAGAAGACTCCAGCAATATGAAGTTCACAACAATGAGAAGAACCAAAAATACAAATTATGATGCAGAATTAAAATTCACGATGACAAAAGGAAAACTTCGCTCACTGAAGACTTCCCCCCTCACCCCTCCCTGTCCCTTTATTGCCGTAAAGGAGATTCTCGTGAAGTTTTCCTTCCTTCCTGCCCTTGCATGTGCTCCATTGTGGTTACTCTAATGAACCCTTCTGATCTGAACCCAGCACTTAACTTCTTTAACCTTTGGAATTTTGAAGGATTCCTGGTGCACCTTCCTTATGCTGTAGTGATTGCCATAAATCTGTCTTTTAAATTTCTTTGATGGGATTTTAAAGTTTTAAAATCTTGAACTCCCAGGCTTTCAAGCTTGTATATAGTTAGTTTTATACTAGGCAAACCAGTTTAGCTATACAGGTATATTGCACCTTTTTAAAGCACTATGTTATTTTCACAGGATATTACTGTTTTGCTCATGGATGTCAAGAACAGCAAAATTTTACTGTTCCAGAGTATTTTACTATTCTGTTTTTATTAGTCTAGTTTTCAGGAAAGGTCTTAAAAATAAAAAAAATTTAAAAATAATAAAATTTAAAAAAGGAAAAAGGAAAAAAAGAAAAAAACCCACCCAAGTCTCTGCAGCAACAAATATGCTTCATGCTACTGGACTGAATGCCAAACAGAAGATTGCTGATATTTCTTAACTCATTCACATTGAATTCTTGAAATCACAGTGATCGTGCTCTGACTAGTTTTAAATTAAGCGTTATTTTAAGTGAAACCAGGACAGTCACATAAAAAGGAGATGCTTTCAGGATCTGTTGGAACAGAAGAATGGAATGTCTTCCAAGGCTGGACACCAAAATAGTCAGGAAAAATGTATTTACTGCCCTCAAGTCTCAGTAGGAACGTGGCTTGTTTTTCTGTTAAGCAACTGATTAATGTATGTGAGTTCTATAAATTTAGCTTTCTTTCACATTCCTGAGTCAGCTTTCTAAATATAAAGGTGTCAGAAATACTAAGACTTGCAAAAACAAATGCATTTAAACATTTTATGTTAGATTTAATAATTAAGAGAAATTATTGTGCAGTTTGAAAAGCATGTTGTAAATTGTTCCTTTTTCTTGTCTATAATGCACATTCTGTGTCCCTCACATTGCTGTGATTGACCCAGATTATTTATACCAGATGCGCTTGATTACGCTGAAATGTTTCTTTTTCCCTAGAGCAAACATGTTTTGATTGTGCCTAAGGACTGTAAGTGGATGGGTAGCTGGCAGAAAATCCCCAGTAAATAAGCAGGAGTTCAGAAGCATAATCAGAGGATTATTGTCCAACTTCTGCAACCACAGTTATTCGGAGAGACACAACACGTAATTTGGGACAGCTTCATTTTTCCTTCAGCCTTCAGAAATAAGGCTGGCTCTTGTTGCAGAAAACCTGGAAAAATGCATTTAGAAAGCTACTAGCAGTGTAACATCCGTGAGCTTCTACAATTGGTGTCCAGAGAAGAAGCGAAGTGAGAAGAGTTTTTACGTAAACAGTTAACGTTACAGGCTTTTGTATTGCAGTGTGTTCTCTTCTGTCCTGCGTCCATACAAAGAAAGTTGTGATCAGACCTAGCAAGATGAGTAAATCTGTTTGCTCTGAGGAGAACGCTTTCATCCCAGCTAGGGACATGCATGTTTCTACTGGGTCTGATCTCCCCATCACCTTTAGTGCCCCCTTCCTCCTCAGGCACGTGTTGTTTTCATACCTGTTGTGAGCAGTTGGCTTGCTTTGGCCGGATCTACCATCATGTGGTTTTGACAACACCCAGCTTCTCTGGAAAGGCAACTAAAACTTGCTTTTGTCATCAAACAGGTAAGGTGGTGAAAATGAAATGAAGCAATCTGAAGGAAAAAAATATTTCTGGAGAAAAATAATCTCCCAAAGGATACTTTCAATGTGTAACCCTTGAAATAACACGTTATATATACCCTAATAGCCTATTTGAAAGAACAGATTTTAATTGTTCATTATTTTATTTCAGTGAGTCTAGGGTTACATTCTTTCTGTAAGTGGAATGTGTCGCTTCTTACTGGTGTCAGGATGAGGTACCTTTTACCTTTGAGCTAATGGATATTTGGTCAATGCCACAAAGTAACATTTATTTTACATTTTTGTGACTTGAATGTCACATTTCTGGAAATTAACCTTTGGCAGAGTAATTTTGTCCCCTCCTGTTCTTTTCACCCTGCTGTTCAGTCAAAATCCTTTTGGCTTTTCCTTTATCATTATCTAACATTTCTTCTCTCTACTGTGACCTGTAGCTGATAATCATAATTCTTATAACGTCAGGAGGCGGTGGGGAGACGTGTTACCGTACAGTTAATTAAGGTGGGCTCTTGTGCCAGTAAGGCAAAATCGTGGTGTAGATTAATCTGTATGTAGAGTGTGAAACTTCATGGCAATGTAAGTTGCTTTAATTGAGTGAGCTGCCAGCTTCTAGAGTGACTGCCACGACCTCTCACTAAGCTGAACTGGCGTTTCTGCCTTGGTTCGGTCTGATAGACGATCACACGTTGCTTCTCTCTAGCTGTTGTGTGCACAGGTGAAGCCCAGCTGACTTCCTCCATTGCCTTCAAACTCACAACTGGGAGGAGAGCGAATGAAAGCAGAAGTGTTTGCTGTGAAATATAGGCTCTGCACACTCTTCTAGTTCCTTCATGGAGGTGAAATAATTCACCTTTTCTTGGGAGGTTGACACTTGGCAGTCATCGTGGAAGAAGCCTTGCTTTCCAGGGGTCATCCCACGAGGTAAACACTCTCCGCTTTCAGAAGTGAACCATGCAGTGTGTCTTGGGAAGCCAGGACCAGTTATTTTTGTTATTTTTTGCCTGTGCAGTTTCATTAGTACTCATAGCCCTGTGTCTGCCCATAACCTTTACGCCCTCACCAAAGTGTTTCACACCGGTACCGAGAGAGGCAGGTGATGCCAGCTGAGCTGCCTTCTCCATCCTGGTTGCCTGGTGGGCGAGCGGGCCGCCGAGTACAGCTCTTCCCATTGCAGCTCGGAGGAAGCAAGGGCGTGGGGAATGAATGGGATGAGCAGTCTGCTCCACTTTGGTGAAGTTTATGTAGCACAAACTGCACAATGAAGGAAAAATATAGGGAAAGCTGCGAGCCCTGCACTGTATCTGTGACACTGTATCTGGGGAGGGGGAGGGAAGAGCATTCATAGCAGGAGGGGTGGCGGGAAGCTAGAAGTGTTCAAATATGTATAATATTTTATATAAACGTAATAAGCCTAGTTCCCCTTCATAATCTTCAGGAATGGTACTTTAACACCATTAAGCAAAGAATTGTTTTAGGATTAAGTAAATGCATTGTACATAAGGCCATACGTAATCTTCTAAAAATGTCGCCAGACAGGAGCGATGTGTATTACTATATGAAAAGAAAGGTCCTTAATGCACTGTTATCTCCTAAATATTTAGTAGTAAATTAATACTATTTAATTTTTTTAAAAATTTGTCTTGTGTAGACACTAAAAAGTATTACACAAAATCTGGACAGAACATGTCCTTTTTAACAGCAATTTAAAGAACTTTTTATATATGTAAGGTAGTAACTTTTCAAATTGTTCTAGTTGTATTTTCCCATGTTTACTATTTGTGGAAGTGTGCCTGTCTCTATTCAGTTATTTTTTTTTCCTAATAATTTCATGCACGCATCTTTCATTTTTGTAGTTTTCATTAGAAATTATTGTGTACGTGCCTCATGCTGCCACAAAACTTTGCCGCTCTAGATCTGTGGTGGCCCCGCTCAGCAGTGCCCGTGCCAATGGGCTAGCAAAACCACAAAGCAGAATACTTGTTTCTCATTCTAGAGTTGAGTTTACTGCTTTTGAGTTGTCCTGATGTCACTCTTGAAATGACTGTTAAATCTAAACGATGAGTTCATTGCATTTATTTTATATTCTTGGTTGTAATGAAATGGAATTGACTTTGCTTCAGTGTGAATTTTTTTAATAAAATAATATACATTTGTAATAATAATAAAAAGTTCAAATCAAATAAGCGTGCTGAAAAGTTTTTGTAAACATTGGCTTTGGGCTACCAAGAGGGAAAATATAGCCCACAAAATTGCAGTTGTAATTATATTCAGGATGTTTATGATATCATACACCACACAAAACAAAGCTTGCAAAACCTCAGAGCTGAAATTACAGCTTTTAAAATGCCCACGAGGATATTCATGGGTATGTGTCTATCGAAATAGAATGAAGCCTTATGCAAAACATAATTGATGGAGTGGTTCTCTTAGGTTTTGCGCTCTGCTTAGAAGTATTCTGGCATGCCAAGCCAATGCCACTTGTTGAGATTTGTTATTACTTGCGTGACAATCGTATAGAGGTGTCTTCCAAAAAACAGTTGGTTTGCTGCATTCTAAAGCTAAATGCCCTCTTGCTTTTTGCTCCTGATGGATCTGGGAGGGTTTCAAGTATTTCAGGAGGCAACATGGAAAGCACAAAGTAGAGCATATTGGTGGGTTTTCGAAGTGGGTTTTTGTGTGCTTTGCTAGTCTGTGTGTTTCTGTTCCATCTAACCAGTGTTTCACGGATAGTTAACTTCTTCCAGAAATCCCACCCATCTTCTCCATAACACTTGCATGGGTAAGAATGGTTGGGATATCCTTGTACTACCAATCATGTTAAGAAAGAGGCTTCGGTTTCTGATGTGCCTTTTGCACAAGGGTGAGAACAGAAGTAGCCTTTTGCCAAAAAGTTGGGTCTGCATCTCTGACACCTCGTGGATGAAGAGCTGTTGCTTTGGCCTCAACACAACTGAGCATCCTCAGCTCTGTACCCCTCGTAGTTCCCCTTCTGCTGTCCTGTTTGTTGGTAAGATTGTGCTCAGTCAGCAGCTTTGACTTGAATGTCCTTCTTAAAACCTCCGATGCTGGCTCTGTCCCAGTCTTTGTTCTTCTACAGCATCTCTCACTGTTTTTCCTACCTGGTCCTGCAGCTTACAGTCTAATCCAGCCTCATCATACCGCTCTGAATTACGATGTCATCTCTTTTTCTGCCCTTGACAGCTAGACAACTTGGATTTCACAGCCACTCAAAGCTGCAGAGTAAGTTGTTTATTAGTCTCTTGCTTTGACTTGTTGCTTCCTGCTTTGTGTTGCTGACCTGGCTCTGCCATCCCTCTTGCGTTAGATGTAAAGCTGCTCTCCTCGCTTGCACATCGCTGCCAAAGTCTGCTGTTGCCCCATCCCTCTTACTCGAATCAAGAAGTTATCAAAGTTATCTCCTGGTCTGATCATCCCACCAGGTCTACTTCTACACCCCCATTTTAGATTTCCAAAGGAGTATTTTTATGCTCTGTTTCCTATTGCCCTTTGTTCCTGAAGACCAGTTGCAAAAGTTTCTGAAAAATTCTCTCCTGGGTGTATTCTGCCTCCCTCATTAAAACCCTTGGGCTTTGATGTCTACGGAAGTTTAATATTTTACGCTATTGGTGTGCTATGAGTTGTACCTGTTGTGTTAATGAAAATGATTCCGGTGATTTTAGGGATCGCTTAGACAATCTGGACACTCACAAATCCATGGGCCTCGATGGAATGCACCCACGAGTGCTGAA